AAATTATTTTAAAAAATTTAAGAGTAATAAAAAAAGAAAGAAAGAAGAGAGCAACCAAACCGACTAAGAAATCCACCAATGATAACAAGCACTAAAAACTGTACAAAACAAAACAAAACTGGACAGACAGAACCCTAGGACAAATGGTAAAAGCAAAGCTATACAGACAAAAATCACACAAAGAAGCATACACATACACACTCACAAAAAGAGAAAAAGGAAAAAAATATATATCTATATATATTAAAAAAAGGAAGAGAGCAACCAAATCAATAAACAAATCTACCAATGATAATAAACTCTAAATACTAAAGTAATATAAACATAAAACTAGAAACAAATTAGATGCAGGAAGCAAACCCCAAGTCTACAGTTGCTCCCAAAGTCCACCGCTTCAATTTTGGGATGATTTGTTGTCTATTCAGGTATTCCACAGACGCAGGGTACATCAAGTTGACTGTGGAGATTTAATCCACTGTTCCTGAGGCTGCTGAGAGAGAGTTCCCTTTCTCTTCTTTTTTTTTTTTTTTGCGGTAAGCGGGCCTCTCACTCTTGTGGCCTCTCCCGCTGCGGAGCACAGGCTCCGGACGCGCAGGCTCAGCGGCCATGGCTCATGGGCCCAGCCACTCCGCGGCATGTGGGATCCTCCCAGACTGGGGCACGAACCCGCGTCCCCTGCATCGGCAGGCGGACTCTCAACCACTGCGCCACCAGAGAACCCCCCCCCCTTTCTCTTCTTTGTTTGCACAGCTCCTGGGGTTCAACTTTGGATTTGGCCCTGCCTCTGCATGTCGGTCGCCTGAGGGCGTCTGTTCCCCACCCAGACAGGACAGGGTTAAACTAGCCGCTGATTCGCGGGCTCTGGCTCACTCAGGCTGGGGGGAAGGGCGGGGCATGACGCGCGGGGCGGGCCTGTGGCAGCAGAGGGCGGCGTGACGTTGCACCAGCCTGAGGCACGCCGTGCGTTCTCCAGGGGAAGTTGTCCCTGGATCACGGGACCCTGGCAGTGGCGGGCTTCACAGGCTCCCGGGAGGGAGGTGTGGATAGTGACCTGTGCTTGCACACAGGCTTCTTGGTGGCGGCAGCAGCAGCCTTAGCGTCTCATGCCCGTCTCAGGGGTCCGTGCTGATAGCTGCGGCCCGCCCCCATATCTAGAGCTCATTCACGTGGCTCTCCTAATCCCTTCTCCTCGCCCACCACGAAACAGGGAGGCAAGAAAAAGTCTCTTGCCTCTTTGGCAGCTCCAGACCTTTTCCCGGACTCCCTCCCGGCTAGCTGTGGCTCACTAGCCCGCTTCAGGCTGTGTTCAACCCCAGTCCTCTCCCTGGGATCCGACCTCCGAAGCCGGAACCTCAGCTCCTAGCCTTACTGGTCCCGGCGGGTGAGCAGACAAGCCTCTCGGGCTGGTAAGTGCTGATCAGCACCGATCCTCTGTGCGGGAATCTCTCCGCTTTGCCCTCCGCACCCCTGTTGCTGTGCTCTCCTCCATGGCTCCAAAGCTTCCCCCCTCTGCCACCCTCGTCTCCAGCCACGAAGGGGCTTCCTAGTGTGTGGAAACCTTTCCTCCTTCACAGCTCCCTCCCAGTGGTGCAGGTCCCGACCCTATTCTTTTGTTTCTGTTTTTTCTTTTTTCTTTTGCCCAACCCACGTACGTGGGGAGTTTCTTGCCTTTTGGGAGGTCTGAGGTCTTCTGCCAGCGTTCAGTAGGTGTTCTGTAGGCGTTGTTCCACATGTAGATGTATTTCTGATGTATTTGTGGGGAGGAAGGTGATCTCCATGTCTTACTCCTTCATCATCCTGAAGGTCTCCCCCCGACACCCTTTTTTGAAACAGTATGATAAGCTGAGGTTTTTAAGTGCAAAAGTATGTGGGGACACTTCTGAAGTATGTGTGCCAGGTGGAAGGGAGACTTGAAGGTCGGGTCTGTGGCCAAGCAAGTGGAAATTTGGGGCATATTGCTATCTTCTCCCTTCACAATGCACATGCCAAATTAAATTCCCAGTACTACAAGAAATACACCTATTTAGCTTTGACTAGGTGTTTCTCAAATATATTTGATCAGGGAACCTTTTTTATTATGACATCTATTTGTATCCTAAGAAACCCATGTTCCAAGGGACATACTTTGAGAAATGCTGCTATGTGGCAAATACTGCAGTACTCAGGGTGGTGAGTTAACAACTGTGATCTGTGTTAGTGTCTCTAAGGAAATCAATAAGTGATACATTACTTCTAAAATGTTATTATTATTTTTTTTTTTTGCAGTGCGCGGGCCTCTCACTGTTGTGGCCTCTCCCGCTGCGGAGCTGCGGAGCACAGGCTCTGGACGCGCAGGCCCAGCGGCCACGGCTCACGGGCCCAGCCACTCCGCGGCACGCAGGATCCTCCCGGACCAGGGCACAAACCCGTGTCCCCTGCATCAGCAGGTGGACTCCCAACCACTACGCCACCAGGGAAGCCCTAAAATGTTCTTTTTGTAGAATGAGTATTAAGAGCAGAAATCCCACCCAACTCTTTTACAAACCACACTGATGCAGAAATGGGAAAATGCTACAAGATATTACTACAGTGCTGAAAGCACATACCCTAACAATCCCACTCTCAAGCATTTTACAGATAGAATGTCAGTATAAAAAGAACAACTCTGAAAAGGTGAGACATTACCAAGTTATCTCAGATCTCTTAAAGTAGTCCTCAGAACTGCTTGAAGGGGATCCTCCCTAAATGATTTGAGTTGGTTTAGCTCATTCTCTGCGGGTTTGGGGGGGCTCCCCTGGCTCCCCTCCGCGACCAGAGGGCATCTAGAGACAATCTAGAGACAATCCCCATGCAATGCCCCGACCCCATGCCCTCTGGGCCTGCTCCATCAGAAATTACATATTTGATGGCACAGTTACGTATCAAAAGGTGAAGGCCAAAGGAGTCCCCAGTCCACTACAAGTGTGTAAGGGTGGGGCTGGAGGTGGGGGACATATATGCTCCTAATATCTGAGTTGACTAAAATTCGGAATGAGTTTTTCATGAGAAACAGTATCATAAGTGATGAGTAAGTAGTTTTCTAGGTAAGTAGTTCAGCTCTACCATTGTTAAATCGTTTGAGGGGATTATTGTGAGAATATACTACCGCTTATAACATTATTTCCCGAAAAAATAAAAACGCATTTTGTGTTCTAAATACAGCACATTAAAAAAAATAGTAGAGAGAATTAAAGCATTCATAAATTACAGACAGGCTGCAGATACTATCCTAAATCCTTAGGGTTTCCTCCAAGATTTATTCATGGTCCATGTGACATAGCATGGTTTTTTTGTTGTTCAACATTTTCTCAACCTGATATGCCCACTTTAATTCTTACAGCAATTCTTAATTTAAACAAATGTTAATCAGCAAATGTCTTAAGTCTTGACTTGAAAACCTGGTATTTATAGTTACAATGAAAAAGTAAATGCCTTAAACAGAAATATATTTTACTTAAATCTTATTTATATTTTCTGTTTTTCAATATAAAAATATGCATTTCAAAACACTTCAAGATATTCTGATAAGCTGTGCAATAGAAAAGGCCCATCCAGTGCACTGTTCCCAGGTGAGTCTGAGGGGTCCTGTCACAGTAGAGCAAGGCTGGCCTGTGGCTGTAGGGGCAATTCATGTTTTGTAAATTCACACTGGCTTGAAACAATATTAAAAAGATGTGCTTCGAAAAGCAAAATAAAGATAAAGCACAGAGCACCTTTTACCATGTTGTAATAAAATATTCATTAATTCCTCTGTGTGAAAATCTGGAGAAAGAAGAAAGGCAAAACTAGATATAAAAGGAAAAATAATAAGTGTTTATAAAGTCAGTTTTCTCTGACTTGTGAAAAGACTGATCAAAAATCCTTTGAGGCAATGTGAAAGTTCATGGGTTCTCCACCTGCCAATACCGTTTCAGCAGCTTCTTAGCTGTCCACCTAGATTTCATATTACAGACTGCATGAGGTCTTACATTGACATCAATACGTCTCTTGTTTTTTTGTACTATAATGCTTTCGCTGGTATACCATGAAGTACTATCACAAGTCAATTATAACTATACTTCATCATAAATAGGAATTAAGAAAGTACATTTTGCCAAACTGATTTTCGAATCTCCTAAATTGTATCTGTTCACTCACCTGCCAATTTGAAAAATCTGCTAATTTGTAGAGGGCTTCCTCATCATTAATAATGAACTAGTGATGCTATAACTTAATTCAAAATCAATTACTTTTTAAAAATGGGACTCAGACCAAGAAAGCTTAGCATCAGCCAAACTCTCCCGGCTCACCATGGGCAAAAGGCCAACTCCACAGTGACATCTAAAGGTCACTTTATGAAGAATCCAAATAAAAATTACTCTCAAAATATTTTGTCCATTAAAATTAGTTTATGAATAGAAATTAAACTTTAACGAGAGAACTTTGGGCCTTTGAGCTAGAATCTCACAACCAGAAAGAAAAGCAATTTTAACACTGACTTATGATATTTTCAGAAAGTTTAACCATTGATTTAAAGAATTCTGTTGGAATAATACATGATAAAAGCTTTGGAAGTAACAGTTATTGAATCTACAATTAAAAACTAATCATTTAGGGGCTTCCCTGGTGGTGCAGTGGTTAAGAATCCGCCTGCCAATGCAGAGGACATGGGTTTGAGCCCTGGTCTGGGAAGATCCCACATGCTGCGGAGCAACTAAGCCCATGCACCACAACTACTGAGCCTGCGCTCTAGAGCCTGTGAGCCACAACTACTGAGCCTGTGAGCCACAACTACTGAGCCTGTGTGCCACAACTACTGAGCCTGCGCTCTAGAGCCCGTGCTCTGCAACAAGAGAAAGCCTGCGCACAGCAACGAAGACCCAATGCAGCCAAAAATAAATAAATAAAATAAAATTTTTAAAACCCCCAAAAAACTAATCATTTAAATCTTTTTCCCCATGGACAAGACACAAATAACAAGCTTTTTCTGCTTTTCTATCTCCAGAAATTCCATGAGAATCCAGAAATGGAAAAAAAAAAAAAAGTGAAGGTAAAACCTGCATCTAGCTGATTGACTATGAAAACTAAAAAAGCACTAAAAAGCATAAAATAGTATTGCTGAATACAGAAGAAAAATGAAAAACACCTGCAAACATTTTTCTACACATCCTGACTGTCTTTCTAATGTTGTTTAGTAGTTAGAACTACTTGCAAAACAAGTGCTGAGAGTTGATAAATATTTATGGTGCCACCTGGTGATTTACTTCATGTTCAGCCAGTGCATTGATTTTGGATGTGATCAGTACTGCCCCCTCAGGAGCACATTCTCCTCTGCATATAATACAGGAAGCTGTACAGCTGGGGACCAGAGACTGTTACAGGTGCTCTGAAACATCGGTGAGAGGAGTTGCCAACTAAAGGAAAAAATGAAAATGCAGAATGCTTTACTCTGCTTTTCCACAGATGTAACCATGACTTCATGCAAAACCTAAAGAAAATGGAAGCTCCTTTATTCCAGATAACCCATAAATTCAGAATTCCACATATAATTTCCTTTAGATGAGCAGAGTATGTTATACATTAATATCCATCTCATTTATGAATCCTTGAAAAGATTTTAGTTGACAAGGAGAATGAGAACCAGGATCTGGATGCTGAATGATGGCTTTGGCAACATCATGTGAGGTGGCTTTTGGGTCTGCCACACAGTTTGAGTTTCTTTGTTGTGAGCATCTGTGCCAGGCCATTGAGAAACACCAGAAAGATGGTCATGGACATGACAATCACGTAGTGGCTGATGCTACAGAAGGAGAAAAAGAAACACGTTACAGGCAGAGAGAACATATAAGAGGAAAAGCATAAGATTCCTCTAACTAATGTTTCTAAATGTACAGTTGATCCTTGAACAACTCAGGGATTAGGGGTGATGACCCTCTGAGAAGTCGAAAATCAGCTTATAACTTTATAGTTGGCCCTCAGCATCCAAGGTTCCTAAGTATCTATGGTTTGGCATCCTCGCATTCAACCAACCACGGATCTTGTAGTACTACAGCATTTACTATTGAAAAGAATCCACATATAAGTGGATCCATGCAGTTCAAACCCATGTTGTTCAAGGGTCAACTGTGTATATAAAATACACAGAATTACAGAGGATACCAATGATTTTGAAATAGATATCAATATGTTAAAAAGAACAAATTTGTTGTAGAAGTAGTGATGAACATAATATTTTGAGATAGCTCCAACAACTATAATGATATGAAAATGTCTGATTGATATTAGTAGTGCCTGTGTCTTTGTCACCGTTAGAAACTGAATTTTAAAATTTAGCTTTTAGAAAAATAAAGATAATTTCCCCCCCTCTAATTCTTATATACTCTGAATAATATCCACAGACTCCCCATGATGTCCCCAAGTTAAGTATTCTGATGTTTTAGACCATGCCATCCCATGTTTTGACATAAGTTAGAAGTACTTTGACAAAAGTACCAGCCACAAAGAAAGAAAAATGTTACCCAAACTCAAATTCAGCGAAGTGAAAGTTTTAGTCAAAGAATCTAAACAAAAGAAAAGGGACACATCTCTCTATTAATCTCAGAGTCAAAGCTACTATCCCCAAGACTTCTGGAAGAAGATAGAATACGCTTAAAATTACTCAATCCCAGTTCCCATCTATCAGCAATATTAAATGTTCAGTTTTTCTTTTTAAACACAGTACATAGTACATGGCTTGATGATAAATTTGGAAATATGGAAAGAAATTTAGGACACAGATCTGACAAATGTGCAACAAAGCAGAGGCTTCCTATAATGATACTAGTACAGTATTGCCCAAGCTAAGCTTCAGTGCAGATTGGCAAGTTTATTCACAATGCCTATCAGAGTTGTGTTTAACTGTCTAACTTCATAATAGATTCACACATTTTACATCCTTCAACAAAGGTGAAGGGAAGGTTCCGCAGGCCTGTAACCAAGCTGGCTTGATGAAGGGAGGTCATATTTTCTCCCCTTTCCTCTCCTCTACCCCCAGCAAACAGAAGTCCTGGTGTGGGTTAAAGAAGCCCCTTCCCAAGAATGGCCCCCAGGGCAAGCCCCAGGGAACTTGTCTTAGGGCATCTGGGAAGGTGCCTTTTGGGTGCATGTAAAACAGGCCAATCACAGAGAGGGACATGGAGACTAAGGGGAAAGGGAACAGCGGCCTGCAGGCCTCCCTCCCACCTTCTCAATAACTCCAGTCCAGTAGGTGGGCAGCCCCCCAAAATGTCAAACTGCTGGCCCTAGGCCAACCTAGGCAAAGCTTCACTGTGCTGTCAGGTAACTGCCCCATAGGCAAGGCCCCTCAAGGCCAGGAAAGAAGGGCCTCTACTCTATGCAGCTTTTATTTATTTATTTATTTTTGGTATTGTTATAAGCTTTTAAGCAAGAACCTCCAATTGTAAAGCTTTATGGTTTGATAGGATTTCCTTTGGAAAGGCACTGATTCCTATTTAGAATCTTTCTCTAGGTTCACTGGTTCATCTTGTAAAGTAAATTTGATATAGAAGAGTTGGCTAATTAAAAAATAAGAATGAGAACTAGTTATGTTAGAAATCTGGTTCTGGACTAGGGTAGGCTCCTGACCTAAAAAGAAAACAATAAAATTAGATCTTTAACTGCTAGCCAAATATTAACATTAAGTTAAGAGTTTTGAAATGTTTGTTTATTTTCACTGTAAAAATAATGTAATAGAATATTGGACCTGGAATTTTCTTCTACTTAAATTTATGTGTGTATGTGTTTGTGTGTATGTGTGTTTGTATATATTTTTTTAACCCTGAATGAATATGATATAGCTCTTATCTACCACTTAATTATGTAGATTTTACAAAGCTACTTTCCAACTTCAGTAGCTACAGAGGAAATAAATCACTGATAATTATTTATTTAAAAATGAAAACAATGATAAGACATTTTTATCATTCTACAAAGCCCTTCTGGGAATAAAACTATCTAGATATTTATTTTAACAGAGTGCTCTTGAACAACTCATGCCAAAATAGACAAGATTATGTTACCAAAATTATGTGAGTTATGCTGAAATTTTATCACACTTAAGTTGGTAACTGGTTGACTGATCTTACTTTAAACATCTTCCAAAGTGGGGCAATTCAAGTTTATCACAGCACAGAGGTGTTAGAAAACTAGAAGCTTTAAAAAAAAAAATCAGAAAATCTTCCTTTTCCTGGAGATGGAGTAGGTGTACTTTCCCCTATTCTTCCTGCCAAGTACAACAAAAACCCTGGGAATTGTATATAAAAGAAACATAAGAAGACTGAACAGTGGATAGAATACACACAGGTTAAGGATCTTGGGACCCAAGGAATGACACAGTGGGTAGTTCCCTGGATTTTCTTTTTGCTGGAACAAATTGGAACAAACCAGAAATGCCAATGGACATAACCCAACCCCCCCCCCCCCCGAAACAACCCAACATGATAACAAAAGCCTACTCTCTAGCCAAAGGACAGACAAGGAATGGGGCAGGCCCAAAAGATGGAAAACTTTTAGACAGTAACTGTTCCACTTCAGCCAGAAACCACAGAAAAAAGGGTCGTTCGGCTCCTACCTGCTCCAGCAAAGGCCGAGTGGGGAGCCTACACTTCCACCCTCACCAGGCTTTGATGAGGTACTCCAACCCCCATCCATCCCTGACCCTGAACCCCCATGGCATGAGAGAACACTGAGTAGGAAAGCTGGTACTTTCACCCAAACCTGGCAGTGACAAGCAATTCCCACTGCCCGACAGTGTCAGTGGAGACCACGTGAGAAGCCTCGACTTGCACCCCCGTCCAGCAGTAATGAGGGCCCCCTTCACTGGGGTAGTATCAGACGAGGCCCAGTGGAGAGTCATTCACCTCCACCCAGAGTTAACAAGGCCATTCCCCTCCCCACTGTGATGTTAGTGGAGGTCATGCAGGGGAGCAATAAGGACTTCCAGCCCTTCCTAGCCACGGAAATACCAGGGGAGGCCCAGTGGGGAACTGTAATTCCTTCCCCTGCTCTGTAATAACGAGGAGACCCCTTTGGGCGTCAATGGAGGCTGAATGGGGAACCTGGATTTCTACTCCAGTCAGTCAAAAAACAGTTTGGTAGTTTCTTATAAAGCTAAACATGCAACTACTATATGACCCAGCAAGTGTACTTCTGGACATATATCCCAAAGAAATAAAAACTGATGTTCACAAGAATGTTTAGAGGCTTAATTCATAATAGCCCCAAACTGGAAATAACCTCAAAGTTCTTCAATGGGTGAATGACTAAACAAACTGTGGTACATCGGTACTACAGAATACTACTCCAAAATAAGAAGGAATGAACTACTGAAACACACAACAACCTGAATGAATCACCAGAGAATTATGCTGAGCAAAGAAAGCTAGTCCCATAATGTTACCTACTGTATAATTCCACATATGTCACATTCATGAAATAACAAAACTACAGAAATGAAAAAAAGATTAATGGTTGCTAGGGGTTAAGGAGGAATGGAAGCAGGAAGGAAGTGGTTTTGCCAATAAAAGGGCAACACGAAGGATCCTGTGTTGATAGAAGCTGTTCTGTATCTTGACAATATGAACGTCAATATCCTGGTTGTTCTATAGCTTTGTTGCATGAAGTTACCCTTCGGGGTAACTGGGTAAAGGGAGTACAGGATTTCTGTATTATTTCTTACAATCTCATGTGAACCCATAATTATGTCAAAATGTTTAATTGAAAACAACTGGCAGCTTGCAGACAACACAAAAACAGCAGGTGGGCTGGCTTGTGCTAAAGGGTCATAGATTGCTGACCTCTGCCCTAGGCTGTCAGGTCCCTGGAGGCAGGGACCATGGTCCCTGTTTCTCTCCCCATTTCATCTTTAAGGTCCAATTCAAGGCCCTGTGGGCCCTCCAATATTTGTTAAATTATTAAAAATGGTAATTTGTAATTAAAAGAAATCAGAAAATCTTCTTTTGTTTTATATACCCTGGCAGATTTAGCCTGGACTGAAATCAGACTCCCCTAAAATAAAAGTCATAGACATATAATCAAAATTAAATGATAAAAGACAAAATCCCAAAATATTTAAAGAAACAAAGAGTCTCTCCCAAAATGAAGTAAAACTAGCCCTAGGAGATATTAAAACATAAAGATAAGTGTAATTCTGGCATTAGAATCAATAATCAGAACCAGGGAAGGGAACAGAAAGCACCGTACACTGAAGATAAAGGAACCATCACAAAAAACTCATGACTGTTCTGGCTAGGCTCACTTTAATTTTATGGGCACAGATGAGATTTGGTTCTCATGAATGCCTCAATTCTGACTGCACACTTGTGAATTATTTTTCTGTCTCCAAGTCAAACCATTTAATGTCCTTTCTTCTCTCCTCAAAGTTCTATCACCTTCCTCCCCTCTCAGGAGATGACTTTGCTTATTTGAGAAAATTTTACTGAGAGCTAAGAGAGAACTTCTCTTCTTGCCCCCAACCTACTAAAACACCCATATCTGTCCATATTTCCTCCTGCACCTGATCCTGTCTAAAACAAACCCCTCCACTTCCATTTTGGATCCTGTTTCAACTCTCCTACAAAAGGACTTTACTTTTGCAATGATTCCCCCTCTCTCTCATAGCGGCATTTTCCCCTTCTCTAAAGCGAGCAAAGCTGTCACCACGCAGATGTGTAATTTCTCTCATCCTAAAAATAAAAGAAAAACTCTTCCAAGATCCCATGGCTTCCTCTGGCACCATCCTAATCTAAGGCATTTTAAATTTGA